TATATATATATATAAACAAAAATACGAAACAAAAGTGATGTCAAACAGGCCCTAAGCATTCTGAGATTTTGGATCCATGGTAATAAAAGTTCATTCCAAAACTAAGAAAAGATTTGCAACTGTTACACAAATTATTAATCAAAATCTATAATACCCAGAAGTTATCATTGGGAAAAAAAAAGAAATTAAGGCTGGCTGGTTTGAATTATGAAGCAACAATAATGAGTAACCTGTGGGTAATGATTCACCTAAAAAAAACAAAAAAAAAAAAAAACAAAACATTACCTACTCCATTTCTTTTCCTAGCAAGGAAGCCCATTGCTTGGTTGGATATGACTGGCTCAACTAGTCCCTCAATGCAATTCTGCGAGACAAAAGAAAAGGTCAAACTAAGTAAAAGAATGAAGCTGCATAACAAGAGCAAATAAAAGGAATTGACAGCTATGTCATCAATCTCTACACATACAAATTAAAATTTTAACAGTAAATGTCAAACCAGCTGCAACAAGAAGGGATATACATTTTTCTATTCATTCTGAGATTTTGGATCCATATTAATAACTGTTCATTACAATACTAAGAACAGATCTGCAACCATTAAGTAATAATTACTCAAAATATATATTCTCCAAGCCTTATGAAAACAGAAAGATGAAATTTTTCATGCAGCAGTAATGAATAACATATGGGCAAAGATTCACAGTATGGAAAAAAAAGGGAGAAAACATTCCCCAACTCCGTTCCTGTTATCATAATTACTTCACATATATTAAGAGAATGAATGACTTTGCTTAGAATCACATTTCAGATGGATGCAAAAGAATATAAGATAAATAAATCTCTGTTTTAAATAGAAGACCATTCTAGTTCGCCCAGACATTAAAACAAAACAGTTGACTACTCAAATCTTTCTTTATTTCCCAGCAGTCAAATCATTCCTAAATTTCAACTTTCTTTTTCCATAGTTCTTTGGTTATGACAAAATTTTCAATAAATTTACAATTTTTTTCAGAAATTCAGGGATTAATGGCATTCCTTCGAGACACCCAAACGTTCTACAGATCATTCAATCAACCAATCTATTGATTTTTTTGTGGAAAACACCCCACATCTTCCACTAATTACCAAAATAAATAGTGAAAATTCTAACCTTTGCATTTTTTAACTCTGTCAATATATTAAAATTATACATTCAAAGAGCCAAAAAAAAAAAAAAAAAAACTAAAACATTTCGATTCATAATTTCCATTTAATGGCTTAAGGTCATATACGAATCAACAAAATGCACAGCTTTCAGAATTAAACATTACTAATGACAGAGATCTAAGAAGAACTAAACTTACCATTGAAATAACTCCTCTCTAACAAAAACATCTGACCAAAAATAGCGCAGAAAAACCAAACAAAGAACGAATATTACTTATACATTACAATCTCACAGAAACCAAAGAGGATGAAAAAAAGAAAAAAAACAGCAAATGACAAAACCGTAGAAGAACTGAATCCCAATGCAAAAACTCGATGAAAAATCTTGGCAAAGGTGTCTTTTTTCTTACCTCCAACATTGGGTGTAATGAGGGTTATACTTTCCTCCGCTCCAAGCGAAGGGCAGCCAGAGAGAGAAAATGAGAGCTTCAGAGTTATATATAGTGAGAGAGAGAGAGATACAGGGGACAACTCAGGTAATCTATTAATGGCGTCCCTTCCCGCGGTTTCTTCTTAGCAACGGCTTCGAAAATCCTTAAATTACACAAAAAAAAAAGCCTTGTCAAAATTGATCGAAGTTCACGAACAGCAAAGAAGCTCGTGTTTGGCTCGTTTCGTTGAGCTAATGAGCCGGATACCAACAACATGAACAAAGATTTGTTTGTCTTTATTTGCTCCTTGTGGCTCGAAATACTACTAATCAATTATGTCTGTGTGTGTGTTTGTATCTTTGGATGAGTAGTATTTTTAAAAAATTTAATTAATTACAAGCTACAAAGATTTATAATTAATTAAAAGAATTAATTAAAAAAATAGAATAAAAATTATTAAATTAGATTCAAATGATGTTTTAATATAAACATTAATTTTTAAATCTTATCCTAATTCTTAACAACTTATGGCTACCTGACTAGGGTTGTCAAAATGACTCTTTGTTCGTGAATAGCTTGTGTTCAGCTCGCTAAGCAAACGAGCCGAACACGAACACACTTTTTGAGCTTGAAATATAAACGAGTTGAACACGAGCTGAGTCTGGGCTAGCTTGTGTTCGGCTCATTTACACCCCCAGTTGGAGGCTGTAACGAATCGTGATCCGACGGTTAAGATTCTTCGGCGGGCGTCGGCATTAGAAAATGTGCAAACTGAGTTGCAGAGGATCGGAGAGTTGCCGGAGTGTAAGAGAAAGCTCAACGCAGCGTTCATTCCCGCCAACTACTACGGGAATGCATGCTGTAGGAAAGCATATAACAGGAATGTAATTAATGCAATGGATCGGGTAATTAAAGGAAACAAATTAAGAATAGTATAATATAATTGTTAATTAATTCTTAAAAGTGTAAGATTTTTTTTATTTAATTCTTTCGTGGAAATCTAATGGCTACAACATAAATTGGATATCATAAATTTTAAATTTACATTTTGTTAATAATTTTTAATCTTTTTATCTGTTAAATTAAAGATATGTAGATAAAAATGAAATGAAGGATCTCAAGATGTAGGGCGGGAGAAAAATTTGCGTACGTAAGACGTATGCAGCGATGTGTACGTGAGAGAAGTTATTCAGAGGGTATTGGTGTACCTTCTAGTAACTTTCTCGCTTCTATTTTCATATATTTGTAGGTTACAGGTAGATTACATGATGTCACTGGGGATATAACGTGGATATAACCCCCTAATACCTCTGAATAACCTTCATGACGTACGCAGCGCTGCGTACGTCTTACGCACACAAATTTTTCTCGTAGGGCGGGTGATATATATACAACTCAATTCTTTTTTGTTTGAATATCTGACATCCATAATCATCCTTTCCAAAAAGAAAATCTACAAAATTGTCATTTGGCAGGTACTTGGAAGGATAAATTCGTAATATATCTGTCATATTAGTTGACTGATGCTCTTGATAATACTTTTGGCCCAAAGGCAATGTACAAATTTATCCTTAACAAAGGTATATCATGCTTGAATAATTTTAGGATAAAATTTTGGGCCAAATAATCTCATTCATATTCCTTTTATAACTTTGGAAAGAAAGCTCGTGGACCCGAGATTTAATCCAAATTATGATATTCTTTATTTCAATATATATATATATATATAAATTGTTCAGCGGGAAGAAACACAAATTAATATGGTTCCAATTTAAAAGCAAATATCATTGAATAAAAAACAAGAGATAATGGGTGCCATAATTAGAAGGAAAATGAAGGCGTAGAAAGTGACATGGACAACAAACGTGCCTGTGGCTTTCAGTGTTCAAACGAAAAGACACTTACACATGTCTACATTTATTAGACGATTCATTTTGCTTTTATAGAGTAATTCAACAATTACCTGTTAATACAAAGAGACAAAACAGAACTAATTTGGTTTTTAGTAGTTTATCATGTAGATCGAACAAAGAAGACGGTAATTTGCTTTCCTCAATAAAATGCCATCTCTCCTTCTCACTCTGCACATAAAAGTAGTGGGCATAAAGCTGGAAACTGGACACTGGGGTCAGGGAAAAAAAATACGCAACGTTACGTATGTCAAGGTTATACAGAGGGTACAAGGATGTTATATCTGTCTTATACCCTCTGTAACCTCCCCGTAACTTATTTGTAATCTACCTGTAACTTACAAATATATGAAAACAAAATCGTGGAACTTAATAGAAGGTACAGGTAGGTCACATGAAGGTTATAGAGGATATAACACGGATATAACCCTCCCGTACCCTATGTATAACCCTGACGTACGCAGCGCTGCGTACGTCTTACGTACGCAAATTTTTTCCAAGGTTGAGGGATGTGATATGGAGGAATGTAGAGAGATTTAATTAGTACATTAAATATTGTTTGGGTATTAATATATTTTCTTAGTTCGAATTAAGTTTAAATTGAGTGAGATCCCAAGCTAAATTTTTTTTTCTTTGTTTAAAGTTTAAGATAGAATTAGATCAAGTTGGATCTAATAAGCTAAAAATAAAAATTACATCATTTTTAATATATTCAATCATTAGTTTTGCTCAACTAAATGGGGGGAGGATCTATCCAAAAACATTGCAATAACTTTGGAGACCCTTCCTTGGCAACTAGATTAGTTGGCACCTATGATAATTAGGATGATTTATGTTCTCATCATAATATTTTTTTGCTATTTATTAGTCTTAACACTCTAATCTTCATATGTATTTACATAGCATTCTAATACCAATTTTTTTTTCCAAATTATTATAATGGGAAAAGTAAGCGCCATTATGAGCGTATTATTTTTGATGTAGGTAGAGCTGTCAATTTGGCTAGTTGCTCATGAACAGCTCGTATTCGGCTCGTTAAACAACTTGTATTCGGCTCGTTCGTTAAGCCTAACGAGCCGAACATGAACAACAGTTTGTTCACTCGTGTTTGACTCGAAATGACTCGAAAAAAAAATTATATAACTTTTTATATATTAATATATTACATATATTATTTATATAATAACATATTATATATATGTATGTCTAATTTTAAATCATAACACCTCATGTGACAATGTAGTTAGTGTCTTCTTTTGTATATATTTGATCCAGGTTCGAATTCCACACTTTACATCTATTTTTCTCAATTTTAGTTTAATGAGCCAATTTCGAGCCGAACACGAACACATTTTACAGTAACTATGCTCCTTAAGATTTTTACATACAATAACACCTATAATGACACTCGTTATTAATGATGATATGTTTGTATTTTAATTAATTTGTTTATTATTATTAAAAAAAAAGATTTGTGATTCATTATTTTGTAAGCAATATCTAACCAAAAACATTAGCAATAAGTTTGGAGCCCATTCCCTGGCAACTGGATTAGTTGGTACCTACCATAATTAGGGTGATTTATATACACATCATAATACTTTTAGTTATTTACTAAACTAGCACTCTAATCTTTATATTTTTTTTACATAGCATTATAATCTCAAACTTTTATCCAAATTATTGTAAGGGGAAAAATTAAGTGTCATTATGAGGGTATTATATGGAAGATTTCTATATGAAGAGATAAAATAAGAGACCCATTGAACTAAATTAATAAGTTATATTTAAATCCTTGTAAAATAATTATTTAAATTCATAGAATCATGGTCAAATCAATTCAACTTTATTAGAGCCGATGGTGATCGGTTTTCTAAAAGAACTATGCTCCTTAAGATTATTTACATGCAATAACAGCTATAATAACACTCGTTGTTATTGATGATATGTTTGCATTTTAACTAATTTGCATTAATATTAAGAAATTATTATGATTCAAGAACTATTATTTTAAAATGTCAATTTATGCTTTCAAATTAGTTAGTTCATAAGATGAATAGTGTTGAATCTTGCATTCAAATGATATAACTATTTTTTCATATGAAAACTTATTTGGTAAAAATTACTAAATTGCCAAAAAGATTTATAAATAGGTGGAATAGGCCCAACAAATGCTGATTGGAGGTATGGAATTCATAAAAGCTATGAAACTCTAGACCACTTAATTATAAATGTAAACAAAATTGCCTAATTAGAAATTATAAATTGTGTCATCCAAAGTTACTCTCATGATAAAAAAGGCAGGATTCATAAAAAAAAAAACAAATTCTAAGTGATAGACTAGAAGGATAATGCATCCATAATCCTTAGTAGTATAAGGAATGCCCATAAAATAATAATAATAAATAAAGAAAGAAAAGAAGAAGAGTAAAATAAGATAGCTATATGATGTGCAATACTCAATTACACTTGCAATCCAAGTTGAGTCAAGATTGACACTATATAGTATTTCGAACCTTTATGTATATCAATCAAATTTTTGCATATCAAAGAAAGCTCAACCCTAAAAAATAGGATATGAAATGTAGAACATCTATTCTTAATTCTCAAAAACTTTTTCATGCATTTGATAAGTTGTATTATAAATGTATATTCGTGTTTGAGGGTTTGATTGAAGCCAGCTAA